CTGTGCTTAGGTGTCACCTGGCTTCTTCCTTCCGTCCCCTGCCCGGCCCCTTGCAGAACCCACGCTCCTTCATAGCTGGGTGCTGACTGCCTTGCCCTTCTGGAACATGGCTCCGAGGGCAGGGGCAGGGCGATGGCCACTTGGGGGGGGCGGGGGTGTCTGCTGGTCAGCGAGGCCCGAGAGCCCTCTGGTGTCAGGCTTGGGAACAGCGGGGCTTGGCGGCCCACCCGGGTGTGCTGGCCAGAGGCTGGGCCGCTGACTCCTCCCCGGCCGCTCTCCTCCCCCCAGGCTGGCCTCGGCCGCGCTGGCGACTCGGCTGTGCTGGTACTGCCATCCTCCCTGGTCCCCCGTTCCTCCAGCCCCCGGCTCAGGTACCAGCAGGCCCTGGAGGGTCAGGTGGGATGTTGGAGGGCCTGGGAGGGACAGGAGGGAGACTGACCTCCCCAAGAGTGTTGGGGGGTTCCCATCACAGGGACCCTGATTCCTGGCTGCCTCCCATCTCCACAGTGCGGACTCAGAAGGGGGAAGCCACCTCCTGGAAGAGGACTCGGAAGTCTTCAAGATGCTGCAGGAAAATCGGGAGGGGCGTGTGGCACCCCGGCAGTCCAGCTCCTTTCGGCTCTTGCAGGAAGCCCTGGAGGCTGAGGAGAGAGGTGAGGCTCTGGGAGGCTTGGGCAGGGCAAGGTCCCCCTCGACATCTGGGACCCTAACTGGACCCTTAATGAACTAGTTGTTGGCCAAATACACATGGCAAACATTTATTGAGCCAATATGATGATAGCAACCGGCGAGACACATAGATCAGGTAGCCTTGAAAATGTGTGCCGAAGGGGGCCAGGGGGCCTTCGCAGTTTGTAATCACGAGAAGGGGGAGAAATCAAAGGGGAGAGGTGGAAGGACAGTCCCCTAATCTCTATGGCTTTCTGGTGCTGTGATGGCTGCTTCTAAGTAAAAGGGTAATAACAGTTTTCAGGGCAGGCAGATGTGACTGCTGGCTTACCCCAGGTCTCCCAAGGCAATGCAATTTAGCTGACCTGGTCACGCGGCTTTTGTGTTATCCAAGTATTTCCTAAGTGCTTGTGAGATTCTCATCGCAGGACTAGGCACAGAGGAGAGTCACAGTCCCTGCCCTCCAGGAGCTTACAGTCTGGTCTGGGGTCCCAGGTGTGCACCCAGAAGGCAGTGGGTGGTGGAACCCTCAGGTCTGGGTCTCCAGGGAGGGCTTCTCGGAGGAAGAGGGATTTGACTTGGTCCCCGAAAAGAGTCAGACAGATGGCTTTAGGATGGGGGCACGGAGCACTGTGGAATGTGGGATTCAGGGCTGGCAGCCAGAGGGCTTCTGGGTGTGGCAGTGAGGGAATATCGGTCCTGGCAGCATGGAGGGCAGCAGGGAGGTGATGTCCCTGTGGGGAGGGCCTTGAGAACAGGATGAGGAGACCCCCAACCCCAGAGAGTTGGTTTAATAATGGTGCCAGGTAAAGTGCCAAAATGAGCAGGTGGGCTCTTGCCAGCCGTTCATTTATTCATTTGACAGACACTGACTGCACCCATCCAAGAAACCATAAGTGTGCAGAGTGTGGGGATCGATGGTGGCCATGACCCCACGTCTGCCCTTGGGGAACCCTGTTTATTGGGGCCAGCAGGCCTAGCTCCTGAGGACGTGGACGCTGCTGCAGGGGTTCCTACAGGTGGATACTCTTTAGAACAGTGGGGAGGAGGCACTGCCCTGTCCAAGGGAGAGAAGAGGAGGTGGCAATGGGACCAACCGGCAGGAGGCATTTGAGTGACCAACCTGGTGGCTGGTTTCAACCCTGATGTTTGGCTTCCAGGGGTGTCACAGAGGCATGGGGGTCAGGGTGAGAAGGTTTGGTGCACATCTGTCCATCATGACCCTGAGGCCCAGGAGAGGACCCAGGGAGGGCGGTGGTGGGAAGGAGAGTGCAGACAGATGGTGACTTCGCTGTGGGCGCCTCAGCGTCCTGAGCTGCCAGCAGCGACAGGAGCTGCCCAGTAGCTCCGCGCTTCATCTTAGCATTGTTCGACAGCTCAGATGCAGTCATGTGTGTAACAGCCCTTTGAAGACTGCACAGAAGTGGCGTGGTGCTGAGGTGACCTGGCATTATCACTACCCGTTCACATCATTATTGCTGGATCACAGGGCGGGAATGTCTGCTTTGCCTGACGTGTCAGATGCTGAGCCTGGCAGCCCCAGGCCACCTGGGGAGGGCAAACCCGGCGTTGGATGTGCTTCGTGCCCTCGGCCAGCCTCAGCCAGGGGCCTGGCACAGTCTCCTTCCTCCCTCCTGACCCACACTCACGCTCAGTGTTACTTTAGAGGGCCACTTGTGAGTGTGCCTTCTGCAGGTCTCCTCGGAGCTGGCGTGTGCAGGTGGGTGAGCACTCACATCTGTCTGCTCCCCCTCCAGGTGGCACGCCTGCCTTCCTGCCCAGCTCGCTGAGCCCCGAGTCCTCCCTGCCCACCTCCAGGGTCCTGGCCGCCCCTCCCAAGCTCCATACCTGCGAGAAGTGTGGCACCAGCATCGCGTGAGTGTGGGAGGCCCAGGGAGGTGGGGCATGGCCTGGGGGGCAGGGGCACTGGGTACTCTCAGGAGAGGCTGGGCCCATGAGGGGCAGGCATCGGGCCACCAGTCAGGGATGCCGAGGAAAGCACTGCCGCGGTGGCTTTGCTGTGAATTATTTGCGGCTTGCTTAGAAGCTGTCGCTCCCCTCCCCTGCCCAGAGCTACAGGAAACACTACTGCTTTTGATTTCTCTTCAATACTCTCAGTGGCTCTGGAGATGAGATCTGTCTCCAGGTGAGGCACCTCCTCCCGGAAAATCTTGCTTTTCCTTTTCTTGCCCCCTTTGGAACAGGCTGGATTTTCCAGAGCAGGTTTGTTTTTCTCAGTGGGTGGCTTATAAGACAGCTACACTCTCTGCAAGAGTGCTGAAAGGCCCCCAGGTGCACTTGTTAGGTACGCAGTGCTGAGGGTCAGGCAACTGACTTTATGCAAATCCCTTCACCTCTCTGGGCTTCAGACTTTTCCATCTGCACGATGGGATTCTATCCGTTCCCCCTGCTGTGCAGAGATCAGGCACATGTGCTGAAGTGGTTCTCAAAGGAGCCCACATCAGAGGCCCTTCCACGGCTTGTTAAATGCAGGGCAGATGGCTAGGTTCCATGCCCGGAGTTTCCTCTTCAGGTCAGTGGTCCTGAGAATTTGCTTTTCTAACTTGTCCCCAGGTGATGCTGAGGCTGGTGGTCCTGGGAGCTGGGACCACACTTTGAGAACCACTATTTTAACTAAAATCCAGGAGACGTGGGCCAGAGTTATGAGTCTTCACAGGGGGAGGAGTGATTTTTTTTGTGGTTAGTGGTCCCTGTGGTCGTAGCGGTGTATGTGTGTGTTTGGGGGTTGTCCATTTTAACTAAAATCCAGGAGACGTGGGCCAGAGTTATGAGTCTTCACAGGGGGAGGAGTGATTTTTTTGTGGTTAGTGGTCCCTGTGGTCGTAGCGGTGTATGTGTGTGTTTGGGGGTTGTCCAAGTGAGATTCCTGAGGGGAACCTTGGAGAGTGAAGTTTCTGAGAAGTTTCTGGCCTGGGATCAGGTGCCCTGGGAATGGTGGCTTCATCCCTGGTGCTCCTGTCCCTGAGGCTCACGCCTCTCCATCCCCTGCAGGAACCAGGCTGTGCGCATCCAGGAGGGGCGGTACCGCCACCCCAGCTGCTACACCTGCGCAGACTGCGGGCTGAACCTGAAGATGCGCGGGCACTTCTGGGTGGGGGACGAGCTGTACTGCGAGAAGCATGCCCGCCAGCGCTACTCCGCGCCCCCCGCCCTCAGACCCCAGGCCTGAGCCCGGCTCCTGTGGCAGCACCTCCTCTGGGCTGGGGCTGGCCCAGTATCCAGTTGACATGGAAGGGGTGGTGGGGGGTTGTAGCTCTTACACGAGATAAGTCTGGGGGCCTCACTGGATGAGGCCATAGGCTGGGACCTCTCCTGGGCTGCAGGTGCCGAGGGCAGCCCAGGTGTCTCCCCTGCAGGACAGACACTGCACCACGGTCTGGTGTGGCCACCGTGTTTGATATCTTTGTGTTCCAGAGGCTAAGCAGGGTGCACACAGAAGTATCTAGAAGGAGAGGGATGGGCCAGAGGCTAATGCATTCACTGTGTAAAGATCTTGACATATGAGCTCTATAAATATCTAAGTGTGCACAGAATAAAGTAGATGCAACTCTTTCCTGCCTTCTCCAGCCCCTGAGTATGAGCTGCTCCCTACTACTGGGTGGAGAGTCTTTATCCACGTGTTTCCTTTTATTTTGCCCTTCCTCAAATCACTGCCCTGCCAGGTGCCTACCTAACACACCCCATTGAAGAGGCTTGCCTCTTTCAGGTTGAAGGGTGTGCTCTTCCTGAACCTTCTTGTTTTACTGGCATGACCCCCTGTACTTTGGAGGGAATGAGGTTCTCACTTGGAGTTGGAGAGGGAGGGGATGCTGGAGGGCATGAAGCAGAGGAACTGGAGGGATCAAGGGGAACCATGCAGCTGAGGCGTCTGGATGAGACGATCTTGTGCTCCGCCAGTGCCAGGCTGGCCTCTCTGTGGCCCTCCCTCTGCTTGGTCACCCAAGGAGACCCACGACATCTAATCCTGCATGTGCTCGAGGCTGTGTGCCCCATTTTGGAAAGATTAGCACCAGAAATAACCTCAGACCAGGGCTGCAAGGGTAAGCCTTGCCCAGGAGGGGAGGGCTGGNCCCGGCAGTCCAGCTCCTTTCGGCTCTTGCAGGAAGCCCTGGAGGCTGAGGAGAGAGGTGAGGCTCTGGGAGGCTTGGGCAGGGCAAGGAGGTCCCCCTCGACATCTGGGACCCTAACTGGACCCTTAATGAACTAGTTGTTGGCCAAATACACATGGCAAACATTTATTGAGCCAATATGACGATAGCAACCGGCGAGACACATAGATCAGGTAGCCTTGAAAATGTGTGCCGAAGGGGGCCAGGGGGCCTTCGCAGTTTGTAATCATGAGAAGGGGGAGAAATCAAAGGGGAGAGGCGGAAGGACAGTCCCCTAATCTCTATGGCTTTCTGGTGCTGTGATGGCTGCTTCTAAGTAAAAGGGTAATAACAGTTTTCAGGGCAGGCAGATGTGACTGCTGGCTTACCCCAGGTCTCCCAAGGCAATGCAATTTAGCTGACCTGGTCACGCGGCTTTTGTGTTATCCAAGTATTTCCTAAGTGCTTGTGAGATTCTCATCGCAGGACTAGGCACAGAGGAGAGTCACAGTCCCTGCCCTCCAGGAGCTTACAGTCTGGTCTGGGGTCCCAGGTGTGCACCCAGAAGGCAGTGGGTGGTGGAACCCTCAGGTCTGGGTCTCCAGGGAGGGCTTCTCGGAGGAAGAGGGATTTGACTTGGTCCCCGAAAAGAGTCAGACAGATGGCTTTAGGATGGGGGCACGGAGCACTGTGGAATGTGGGATTCAGGGCTGGCAGCCAGAGGGCTTCTGGGTGTGGCAGTGAGGGAATATCGGTCCTGGCAGCATGGAGGGCAGCAGGGAGGTGATGTCCCTGTGGGGAGGGCCTTGAGAACAGGATGAGGAGACCCCCAACCCCAGAGAGTTGGTTTAATAATGGTGCCAGGTAAAGTGCCAAAATGAGCAGGTGGGCTCTTGCCAGCCGTTCATTTATTCATTTGACAGACACTGACTGCACCCATCCAAGAAACCATAAGTGTGCAGAGTGTGGGGATCGATGGTGGCCATGACCCCACGTCTGCCCTTGGGGAACCCTGTTTATTGGGGCCAGCAGGCCTAGCTCCTGAGGACGTGGACGCTGCTGCAGGGGTTCCTACAGGTGGATACTCTTTAGAACAGTGGGGAGGAGGCACTGCCCTGTCCAAGGGAGAGAGGAGGAGGTGGCAATGGGACCAACCGGCAGGAGGCATTTGAGTGACCAACCTGGTGGCTGGTTTCAACCCTGATGTTTGGCTTCCAGGGGTGTCACAGAGGCATGGGGGTCAGGGTGAGAAGGTTTGGTGCACATCTGTCCATCATGACCCTGAGGCCCAGGAGAGGACCCAGGGAGGGCGGTGGTGGGAAGGAGAGTGCAGACAGATGGTGACTTCGCTGTGGGCGCCTCAGCGTCCTGAGCTGCCAGCAGCGACAGGAGCTGCCCAGTAGCTCCGCGCTTCATCTTAGCATTGTTCGACAGCTCAGATGCAGTCATGTGTGTAACAGCCCTTTGAAGACTGCACAGAAGTGGCGTGGTGCTGAGGTGACCTGGCATTATCACTACCCGTTCACATCCAGGTGATGCTGAGGCTGGTGGTCCTGGGAGCTGGGACCACACTTTGAGAACCACTATTTTAACTAAAATCCAGGAGACGTGGGCCAGAGTTATGAGTCTTCACAGGGGGAGGAGTGATTTTTTTGTGGTTAGTGGTCCCTGTGGTCGTAGCGGTGTATGTGTGTGTTTGGGGGTTGTCCAAGTGAGATTCCTGAGGGGAACCTTGGAGAGTGAAGTTTCTGAGAAGTTTCTGGCCTGGGATCAGGTGCCCTGGGAATGGTGGCTTCATCCCTGGTGCTCCTGTCCCTGAGGCTCACGCCTCTCCATCCCCTGCAGGAACCAGGCTGTGCGCATCCAGGAGGGGCGGTACCGCCACCCCAGCTGCTACACCTGCGCAGACTGCGGGCTGAACCTGAAGATGCGCGGGCACTTCTGGGTGGGGGACGAGCTGTACTGCGAGAAGCATGCCCGCCAGCGCTACTCCGCGCCCCCCGCCCTCAGACCCCAGGCCTGAGCCCGGCTCCTGTGGCAGCACCTCCTCTGGGCTGGGGCTGGCCCAGTATCCAGTTGACATGGAAGGGGTGGTGGGGGGTTGTAGCTCTTACACGAGATAAGTCTGGGGGCCTCACTGGATGAGGCCATAGGCTGGGACCTCTCCTGGGCTGCAGGTGCCGAGGGCAGCCCAGGTGTCTCCCCTGCAGGACAGACACTGCACCACGGTCTGGTGTGGCCACCGTGTTTGATATCTTTGTGTTCCAGAGGCTAAGCAGGGTGCACACAGAAGTATCTAGAAGGAGAGGGATGGGCCAGAGGCTAATGCATTCACTGTGTAAAGATCTTGACATATGAGCTCTATAAATATCTAAGTGTGCACAGAATAAAGTAGATGCAACTCTTTCCTGCCTTCTCCAGCCCCTGAGTATGAGCTGCTCCCTACTACTGGGTGGAGAGTCTTTATCCACGTGTTTCCTTTTATTTTGCCCTTCCTCAAATCACTGCCCTGCCAGGTGCCTACCTAACACACCCCATTGAAGAGGCTTGCCTCTTTCAGGTTGAAGGGTGTGCTCTTCCTGAACCTTCTTGTTTTACTGGCATGACCCCCTGTACTTTGGAGGGAATGAGGTTCTCACTTGGAGTTGGAGAGGGAGGGGATGCTGGAGGGCATGAAGCAGAGGAACTGGAGGGATCAAGGGGAACCATGCAGCTGAGGCGTCTGGATGAGACGATCTTGTGCTCCGCCAGTGCCAGGCTGGCCTCTCTGTGGCCCTCCCTCTGCTTGGTCACCCAAGGAGACCCACGACATCTAATCCTGCATGTGCTCGAGGCTGTGTGCCCCATTTTGGAAAGATTAGCACCAGAAATAACCTCAGACCAGGGCTGCAAGGGTAAGCCTTGCCCAGGAGGGGAGGGCTGGAGCCCCTCACAGCCCAGTAGAACCCCTATACTTGAGGGACTGCACACACCGAGTGTCTGGCCTCTGGGCCAGGGTGGTCCGTCAGGACCTTCCGCCTCTTCCTTGGAAGACTCTTCTGGCTTCTGTGGTGGTCGATTTGAAAGAAAGAGAATACAATGCATTATGGCCAGTGCTAGGTGGGCCTGCCCTGGGGGTGCATTTGAGTGGAGGCAGCAGGCAGCAGTCCCCTGCCAGCCTATCATTTTCAGCCGGATTCACCAACCACCCCAGTCCTAATCCCAGAAGACGTTTCAAGAAGTTCCCAGTGGGGCTGCTGAGTACTCCAGACCCACCTGCCTCCAGTCAGCCCGAGGGATGGGTGGCAGCCTTAGCTTTATTTTCACTTAAAAGATCAAAGCTGGGCTTCACGGGTGCCCTGGCTGGTCTCTGATGCAGCTTTGTGCTTTCTGGCTCTTCTTGGAAGGAGTCTTGACGGAGACTGTCTGTGTTGCCTCCGCAGGCACCTGCTGATATAATTTACACCTTGATATAATTGTCTTACCCTTTGCCTGGATGTCTGCCTGAGGATGGGCCTTTATTTTTATGGAAAAGATCACAGCTGGCTGTCTGGCTCAGACATCTGTGGGGCCGGAAGGTCTGGTCAGAAATGGGGTGGCCTCTTGGGAGCCACCAACTGTCGGGTGTGGCCCATGGCGGGAGAAGGCTCACAGAAGAGGACTTCAATGCACAGGCAGTAAATACCCCGCCCAGAGGGAGTGCAGAGCAATGTGGTGCTTTTATGGCTTTCCTGGAGCTAATAGGCAAGTGCTAGCGATCAAGCAACATGAATGAAATAATGCTACATGGCAGCGAGTGCTGGGGCTAACGTGGGCCACACAAAGGATTGCCCTGTGAGTTCTCGGCAGTGGCCATCCATGCGGAAGGAGGGCCAGGTCTTGGCAGATGCAGGGGAGAAATGCTGAATGATGAAGGTGACCTCAAGTGGAATGTCCAGTTTAGAGCAGTGGCCGACAGGGACACTGAGATATGATTGTGAAGGGAGATAGGAGCCTTGAAAGCTAGAAGTGGTTTGAACTTCACCTTGAGGCTCTTGGGCACTTTAAAACTTTAAGCAGGGAAGTGACAAGTTGCAAAGGGTGGGTTGGACTATTGATATGGTCAGACCCCTGCCTGGAACAAACCGCGCTGGGCCAGCAGTGTCATAGGAGTGGGGCAGAGCAGGTGAAGTGGGGACACTGGGAAATGGGTGAGCGGCTGCGCGCGTTCCGCAGGCCGAATGGGCTCAAGCTAAACGCCACCCTGGCCCTCGTTCTTTAGTTGTGGTAGCTGGCTTTCCTGCCAGGGCTCCTGAGGACCTCAGTACCAGAGTTCTCCGCAGCCACACAGCCAGCCCCAGCCCAGGATCGAGCTCCTCTGGAAGATGGAGTTAGAAGCTGTCAAAGGCAGCATCTAATCCGACCCCTTTGCTTAAAGCTGGGAAAGTGACTTTCCCAAAGTGACACAGCTAGATAATAATAATGGCTAACATTTTGGAGCCGTTTACTATACTAGGAACTCTTTAAATGCTTCAACTCACCTAATCTCCTGACTCTGAGATGGGGATTGTTATCGTCCTTGTTCTACAGATGAAGAAACCAAGGACAGGCAGGTTAAGTAACTGGTCCAAGGACTCCTGGCTACGAAGGGGTGGGACCAACAATGGAACAAGGGCCTGCTTCCCGGGTTTCTGTCACCAGAGGCAGCCTTCCAGGCACAGTCCGGTCACCGCGGGCCACCGCGGGAGGCCGCCATGGCCCTCCTGGCCCTCCCTAGGCTGGCGGGAGCTGCCTGCAGGCTCTTGGCTTTCTCCTTCCTCCCACAGGGCCTCGCTCAGTGCTGAGCTTGCAGGAAACGCACTTCCTGAAGCTGGGACTTCCCCGCTGGAGGTGCAGCAGCCACTGGGCACGCTGGTCTCAGCTTGAGGGATGACTCTGCTCTGGCCACCAGCTGTCTCAGGCACTCCTGGTAGCTGCTCGTCTGTCAGGTGGGCAGCAAGGGGGTGGCTGTGTTTTCCCTCCCACTCTTCAAGCAGCACTCAGGGAGATGGTTCTCCTCATGCAGGAGGCTGGTGAAGGAGAGACTGAGGAGGTGGTCAGTCACCCAGAGCCCTCTGAGTGGTGAAGGCCTGGCCCAGATCTGGGCTTGGGCTCGGGGCTGCCACAGTCAGGGCAGCAGAAGGCAAATGGGAGGGAAGCGTGTGGCCTCCCCCCCCCCCCCCCCCCCGGGGGGGGGGG